CTCGTCATAAAACGATAAATAGTTTGTCAAATTTTTATTCATAAAAATGCAGTTTCAACTGCTTTTTATTTTATAAAATCTGTCTTCTTGTGCCACCAGATGGCCTTTTAAACAATAGGTAGTCTGTTAGTGCTGGTCAGTAGTAATCCAAATTCAATACAAACATTTGTTTCTTGAAAATTTGATTACGATTTAAATACAGTATTTATTTTTAATATTACCGATATGTCATCAAAAAGAAAACGTGTTGTATTATCATTAAAAGACAAATTAAAGTATTTGTTTCGATTATCCGAATTTTTCCTTATCCGGACTACCTTCATCCCCAATTAGTCCGGATAATCAAGGTTCTACTGTATTTATCTTTTAACAGAAAAGCAAATAATCTTTTTAAATGCTACATAATTTAAACTAAAGATAAACGATTATTCTGCCATCTTGTATTAGTTAATTCATTTCTTTAATTATCAATTTAATAAGATTAACTTTAATAAATAAATGATACTGATGAAGTTTTGATTGAACCATAACTAATTAATTAAAGATATTATATAATTTGGATTAAAATTGTCTAGTATTAAATTTAATAATTATAAATAAATAAAATTATTTAGAATATTTCTGACACAAAAGATCAACCCATAGCAAGACACAAAGATTGGTCTGAAGTCTGAATAATATAATTGGCAATACATTTTCATGGTAAGCAAAAGTTTGGGTTCAAGTTCTGCTCTGGATCAATCTTTTCTTCTAGAATATTCTAAATTAGTTAATTGATTTGTATTATTAAATTCAACAAAAGATGGCAGCTTTAGTCCAAATTACATAATATCTTTATGATTAATTAGCTACATTACAGCCTAATAAAAATCTGGAAGGATCATTTGTTTATTACTACATGTTGGTTTGGTTTTAGTTGCTATATAATTTAATCATTATAAAATAAATAATTTATCTTAATTATATTATTTAATTTTATCTTTCTGTGGTATCTATCAATATATATATTTTTAAATATTTTAAATTAACAATTTAAACATACAGTTAATTAATTTAAAACATTATATTTTAGTATGTATATTTTGTTTCTATATTGGGCAGAATTCTGAAGAGTTTTCTCCAATTTTGTACATTTTAGGAATTTATTCTGTAATTTATTACTCAGAAATCACAGGTTTTTTTGTTTGTTTTTGAGTTAAGTATAAAGTCTTTATGAATTTAGATATTTTTGAAATTGAAAATGTTTGTGATCAAAAATCAAACCAATAACTCTTGTACAACAAACAGATTTTTGTTCCCATGAATTCTGGAAGTACAGTAGAGCGTCGATTTTCCGAAAGTCAATCATCCGAAAGAATTCCAGTCGGCAAATTTAAATTTTCGCCAGTGCTGTGGCGCTTCAATCTTTGGCTACTAAAATATTTTACGTTTTTGATACTAAATTAACATGTGAAGTATATTTTTTTATTGTTTTTATATTTTTCAATATATTTATTTTGTTTGTACAAAATAAAAAAATAATTTTTAATGATACAGTAGTCTTTGTTAGGCTTAACATCGACGAAAATTCAACGCAAAGCGACACGCAACGGAGAAAAATTTCAACATCAGATACATTAAACTATTTTTTCGTACATAAATCAGTTATCCGAAATACCAGTTATACGAACAACCCCAGTCCCCAATTGATTCAGAAAATCGACGCTCTACTGTATCTATTTTAGATTATATAAATTTATTATAATATTATCAAGTTAAAATTAATTTGTTTAACAAGAAAAACCTAGAAATAAAGAAACTTACATGGATTTTTTTTCAAATGTCATTAAATCAGTTTTGATATTATTGTAATCAGAAGATTTCTTTTTTAAATCAGCATCAATTTGAGAAATTTGCTAAAAATAGTTATTTAATTATTAAAATATAATTATCTATTACATTATTTTTTATTATGTGGTAATATTACTACAAATCAATTTATAAAATTCTAGTGTAAAAAGCATTACTTTTAAAATATAAAGGTAAATTCTAAAATGAACCACAGTAATTATACACAATTTATAAATGTTGCTTATTTATACTAAATTTTTATTATTATAAAAAGTTTTCTTAGATGTATAAATATTTTTAACAACAGTATGTTGTTATATTATATATATATATATATATATTTCATTTACTTTTACAGTTTGACTACTACTGATATATAATCAAATAATTAAAAATTAATACAGTATAGTCCCACAAACTCAATGTGAACTGAGAAGATAATAAGTTACCAAAAATGATGAGTTGTTTGGCATAGTAATGTTAGTCTAAATAGCAGAAATGTTTGTAAATATGCAAAAATTCAAATAATTATTAACTACACACCAATAGTGACCATTTCTATGTTGTAATTAAAAGAATGACATAATTTTCATACAAATTATTTCTAACAAAGAAAAAACCATGCTACATGTATCATTGGGAAATATCTTTTAAAACTGATAAAAATTTAAAGTAAAATTAAGAAAATCTAAATCCTATTTGCTTATTTTTTTGTTTCTAAAAAATAATTGGCAAAATTGGCTTCTGTAATTTTACTAATATTTCACTGTTATCATCTATCAGGAAATATTTATATTGACATTTAATGCATAAAGTAGTCCAAAACATTAAGAGAATATCATAGAATTAATTATATGAGTCTTGACTCTTATAATTACTTTTCAAGTGGTAAAGTAGGTGAAATTTAATTTTAATTAATAAATTGTCACAAAACATTCATGTCCTTAAGACAAACATAGAGCCATCACAAACCCTATCTGCAAGTAATCATTCTATATGGACTTGTGTGTCTAATGATGACAAAGTTATTTATCTAGCTGGATGTACATGCATGGCTGGTTACCCCAGTGTTTTTCAACCTTTTTTATCTCAAGGTACACTTGAACCTATAATTAAATTTCTGCAGAATAAATCACATGATTTAAAGTTGTGTCTGTAAACATTTTATTGCCATATTACTTGCCACTTAACCTAATTCTTTTTGTTTATATTTTTTGTGAATTAAATAATACTGTATTGTTGTTCCTTAAAATAGTAGCAGGTTACAACAATAGTTATTTAGATTAATAATTTTCATTTACATAAGAAAAGCAATTAAGTCTTAATTTGTATTTAAAAGTGGCATGAAAATTGTCTTTAGAAACCTGCCCATTGTCCCACTATTTCTACATTAAAAATAATTTGAATATGAACAATTATAGATACATTTTTGATTAAAAGGAAATTTCATTTTAAATGAAATAACCTGGTGTCATGCACATATAATTTTACTTATGAATATATATTTTTTACTACATTACATATACATTTAATTATTATACCAATGAAAAACTCATATAATCAATTTAAAGAAGTTTTAATTTTGACACGTACTCTTATTACTTTTTGGGATTCTTTCAAAATAATTTATTTAATAACCTTCAAAAATAATCAAGCATCCTTACTAAACCCGATACATGTAAAGCTATACATCAACCAAAGCTGAATATTATCGGGCTAGAAACAGGTGTAGTAAGGATGTTTGATTATTTATATACACCTTTCCGGGGTTTGCAATGGCCGGTTGAGTGCCTTGGGTATTGTTTGCACATCGTGGGTGTTGAATGAGCCCCCAGCTGGCATTGTAATAACCATCAATGGTTATATCGTTAGCTTATATATACTGGAAGAGGAGATTGGACCGAAGGTCTGGGTAGCGTAATTGGCAACGCATCTGCACAGTAAGCAGGTTCGAGTCCCACTTCAGGCCAATTCTCTTCTTCCAGTAATTCTAAAATTATTATTTAAATTATTTAATTAATTTATAATTATTAAATTTATCAAGAGATGGTGCCTAATGCCTAACTCTAATGCAAAATTGTTATTAAATTATTAGTATTATAGCTGTTTCTAGCCCGATAATATTTGGCTTTGGCTGATGTATAACCTTCAAAAAGTTTCCAGCACACTGGCTGTAAATCACTGGATTACTCATTCTCTTCTTAAATTTTCATCACATGGAAATGAATTTAACTGGAACAGTTGAATACATGGACAATCTCTAAGCATAATGTTTTCATGTATATCACATACAGCATACAAACTACTTATAAAGAACTCTCTGTCTATTACGGCAGCCAATCACTGCACAATATCTAACTGAACTGGTTTTATAAGGCATATTTTCAATGAAAAACTAAAAGCTGCAGACCTAACATTAGCAACTAGCAACATCTTAATGGATGCCAAGACATGCACTCTCATGTGTCAGAATTCAAAAACATGTTCTGGAAACTTGTGGATAGCTATNGTATGTACTTATATTATATATATATATATATATATTTCATTTACTTTTACAGTTTGACTACTACTGATATATAATCAAATAATTAAAAATTAATACAGTATAGTCCCACAAACTCAATGTGAACTGAGAAGATAATAAGTTACCAAAAATGATGAGTTGTTTGGCATAGTAATGTTAGTCTAAATAGCAGAAATGTTTGTAAATATGCAAAAATTCAAATAATTATTAACTACACACCAATAGTGACCATTTCTATGTTGTAATTAAAAGAATGACATAATTTTCATACAAATAAAATTTTTTCTAACAAAGAAAAAACCATGCTACATGTATCATTGGGAAATATCTTTTAAAACTGATAAAAATTTAAAGTAAAATTAAGAAAATCTAAATCCTATTTGCTTATTTTTTTGTTTCTAAAAAATAATTGGCAAAATTGGCTTCTGTAATTTTACTAATATTTCACTGTTATCATCTATCAGGAAATATTTATATTGACATTTAATGCATAAAGTAGTCCAAAACATTAAGAGAATATCATAGAATTAATTATATGAGTCTTGACTCTTATAATTACTTTTCAAGTGGTAAAGTAGGTGAAATTTAATTTTAATTAATAAATTGTCACAAAACATTCATGTCCTTAAGACAAACATAGAGCCATCACAAACCCTATCTGCAAGTAATCATTCTATATGGACTTGTGTGTCTAATGATGACAAAGTTATTTATCTAGCTGGATGTACAGTACATGCATGGCTGGTTACCCCAGTGTTTTTCAACCTTTTTTATCTCAAGGTACACTTGAACCTATAATTAAATTTCTGCAGAATAAATCACATGATTTAAAGTTGTGTCTGTAAACATTTTATTGCCATATTACTTGCCACTTAACCTAATTCTTTTTGTTTATATTTTTTGTGAATTAAATAATACTGTATTGTTGTTCCTTAAAATAGTAGCAGGTTACAACAATAGTTATTTAGATTAATAATTTTCATTTACATAAGAAAAGCAATTAAGTCTTAATTTGTATTTAAAAGTGGCATGAAAATTGTCTTTAGAAACCTGCCCATTGTCCCACTATTTCTACATTAAAAATAATTTGAATATGAACAATTATAGATACATTTTTGATTAAAAGGAAATTTCATTTTAAATGAAATAACCTGGTGTCATGCACATATAATTTTACTTATGAATATATATTTTTTACTACATTACATATACGTTTATTATTTATAACAATGAAAAACTCATATGAATAATTTGAATATGAACAATTATAGATACATTTTTGATTTAAAGAAAATTTCATTTTAAATGAAATAACCCTGTGTTATGCACATATAATTTTACTTATGAATATATATTTTTTACTACATTATGTATATGTTTATTTATTATAACAGTGAAAAACTCATATAATCAATTTAAAGAAGTTTTAATTTTGACACGTACTCTTATTACTTTTTGGGATTCTTTCAAAATAATTTATTTAATAACCTTCAAAAATAATCAAGCATCCTTACTAAACCCGATACATGTAAAGCTATACATCAACCAAAGCTGAATATTATCGGGCTAGAAACAGGTGTAGTAAGGATGTTTGATTATTTATATACACCTTTCCGGGGTTTGCAATGGCCGGTTGAGTGCCTTGGGTATTGTTTGCACATCGTGGGTGTTGAATGAGCCCCCAGCTGGCATTGTAATAACCATCAATGGTTATATCGTTAGCTTATATATACTGGAAGAGGAGATTGGACCGAAGGTNACACATAACTTTTCCATTCTTCACCACATGCGTGCATCCCACCTTAAGGATTAAATACAGCAGAATAAGCAATAAGGATCATGCCATATTTTAATTCAAATCGGAGTCCAAAATTTTATATATAAGTTTCTTTTGTACAGTCAGAATTGTTGTCTGATCAATACTAAAAATTCTACTTTCAACAATTATTTTTTAGCATTCTAAAAAATCTAAATGATCTGAATAATATTTGTTAGTTTAATACAATATATATAATATGTAAATTTCTGAATGTTATTTTATAAAATGGATTTTTATTTAGGAATGTGCTCATGGCCTTGGTGATATTATGGTTTTATTAAAAGCAGTTGGAGGTACTGAAAATGTTGGACTAAGTAGAAAAGTATGTGATGACAATGGTCTGAGATATAAAGCCCTATTGGAGATTCGTAAACTGCGTTGTCAATTAACTAAAGAAGGTAATAAAATTTACACATAAAGAAAAATAAATTTTATATTTTGAGAAAACTGTTGTCATAGAGTATGGTTTTTACCTTCTTCAAGGATGTCAGAAAGCATTCAAAATCAAGAATATTTGTTAGGATATTTATTTTTCAATTACCTTACTAATTATTTCAGTAATTGATGGAAGCGGTTGCTTGGTAGGGTATTTTGCCTCAATCCATTTAAAACGAGTTAAGTATTCTGCTAAAGGAGCTGAAACAAAATAAATACTATAATTATTATAAATTATAAGAATGAAAATATTAATTTAAAATAAATATGATAATATTTGTGATAACAGTATCAGTATACTTAATAGAGTAATATCTCTGTAAACAAGAATCATAAAGTAGTGAATCATTTTTTCATTTTTGAAAGTTTAGTATTTTTCCTTTTTTTTTTATCTTTAAATCATACCAGATAAATGTCACACAGTTATATTCATTTTTTTAATAATAAAATCACTTTTACATACATAAAGAAATTTTGTTACCAGGCTTAATCCAAAATGACTGCCACTGAAGGTAGGAGTATTCGAATACAAGAATTAGGAACTATTCTAGCAAAATCTACTCATTGCTCCTAAGAACTTATGCTGGGTATTTAAATATGAGTTCATATGGCAGTGAACAAGTCAATTCAAGTGTCTGGGTTTGCTGTCAGAAATTCTAATTGCATTATAGTAATACAGAGACCAAGTTATTCTGTGACTTGATTTTGAGGAATTTTAATATCTAATTAAGTGTTTACTTCATTCTCTGTAATTGTCAACATGCTAATCAATTTGTTTCTACATATTCAATACAAGGCAAATTGATGGTAGGTGTTACCTTATATTCATTGTTATGTCAACTAGATAACCTTTTTCATTTTTCCAACAGTAAAAATATGTAATATAAGTAATAGATATGTATTATATCAATGGTGTGGTTTTCTTGTAATAATGTAACGAAAAAATGTAATAATTGTTGTAAATAGTAAATTGTAACTTTACCATAATAATCACTATAATAATCAGATTTCTACTAATTTATAGAAATGTAACACCTGAAGAGGGGTGCAAGGTATACAAAATATTGCACCTGAAATGCATAGTGAATAAAGAATAATGAAGATAACACTCAGAAGTTTTTGTCTTTGATAAAATGTGGTCCAGACAAAAAAAAAAAACATCAGTTAACTTCTTTGGATCTAACCTATGATGTTTCATCAATATTTTTGAAGAAATAATTTTTTTTTTAAAATTGACATTTAAAAGAATAAAAATATGACAAATGTTTTCAAGAAGGTCTATTGTGAATGTGTTCTATTTGTAATGGAATAAAGAAAAGATTATCTAGTTGATATAACAAATATTTTCAGTTTAAATTACACTCATTGCTTTCACATGAATTACATTGGTTTCTGTTCTTAAGAACTATTTTTGGAAAACTCATTTAATTCTTGAAAGAACGTGATTCTTAAAATTATTCGATTCTGCCCCTGGTTAATTCCAACAAAGACCTTAGGCCTTGTTGGAAAAACAAAAGTCAAAAGACTTTGTCATGTGACCTTCAAGTTTCTGACAAGGTTCAAAATTGTTCTTGAAATACAGTTTGAAATCATCTGTAGTTATAGTTACATATGGGGAAAATTTTACTTATTTATATCTAAGAAGATTCTTAATTTTCCACTTTATCCAAGTTAAATTTACATTCTTCAAACCCATAAACCTCTTCTGTTTCTGCCAATGTAGAAACAAAAGAGATGGACAAGTTTCTGACCTATAGATAAGATTTAACATAGAATGGTGCTACATTCTGAAAAATTTAGGCAGTTTTCCATTTTAGACAGGTTTTACTATATTTTAGAATGTACTAAATAATTTAGGAAACAAAACAAACATTTGACTTGAAATAATAACCAATAGAGAGAGTTATAGTAAATTGAACACACAACTCCACACACAAAATACAGAAATCAGAAATTCTTTATACAGTCAAACCTCTAATATGCCACTTCTAAATAGCAGCCATTTTTCAGAAACATATCTTGTTGAAATGCATACAAAACAATCTCTGAACAACAATTACTTTTTATGTTCCTGTGATCAACCATTGTTCAGTGGTTTGACTGTACTTGTATATTTCTGAATAATGTCTTACAGTTCTTAAAAGTATACTATAACTTCATATTAATAATTGTTTCTTTTTAACTTACACAACTTATTGTAAAAAGTTAAACATTTATCTATCAATTTGGAATAACATAACTATTTAGCTAATATTTTCAGTATAAATAGTTATAAAATTTTTCAAACTCATAAATCTAGAAACTTTTAAATTATTTTTTTTATTAATTTAAAAATGTTGCATTGATATAAACTAGAATCAACCTTATAATAGAATAATATCTGAAATACTACATTTATTATAGATTAAACCTAATCAATGTTTTGATTTAATTATACTTTGTAAACGAATTTTCCATAACTAAAAATTTTAACTATTTTTGAATCATAAAGATTAAATGAAACCCTGTAAAATAATAAAAATTTTTAGGTTTTAAAAGTACACGTAAAACTCACCATTATTTATTAGAAGATTTTCTGCCAATTTGTCTTTTTTATCTTCCAAAACATCTCCAAGATAATTAGCTAACTTCCATGTCACCCTTGATAAAGTAAATTTTCAACAAATTTACATTTTCATAATTCATCATGCCAGTTACAATTATTATAAATTTTAAAATTTTTATGTTAAATATTAAATTTGGTTTATTTTAGGTAAATTAAAATGACTATTAGCTAATTTGCAATCTATAAAGTTGAATTAACATATAATCCATAAATAATTTGATCACTTAATTGAAGCAAAATAAAAATCAATAAATTTTATGATGTATGCTAAATTTAGAAAAGTTTAAGATGAAAATATTTATGAATATTTCTAAAAAAAGTATTTAGAAATTAATAATAATAATAATAATAATAATTACCCCTCTACAAATAAATCCAATTTATCCAAATCATCTGATAGTCCAACTAGTTGATCAAGTGTTCCAACCTTTAAAATACAATTTTATAATATAATGAAATAAAAATGTTTTTAAATAGTAAATATTCTTTTATTTGAAATATAATAATTATTTTTCATGAACTAAGCTATCAATCTAATTTTCACTTTATGGCAATTTATAAAGTTAAAAATTTTTTGTTGTTATATTAAAAACACAAGACTAAATAAAATTTTTAAAAATTAAACATTGTTTTAAAAAAGAAATAATTAAAAACATTCTTGAACCCTGTCATCAGTAAATATCATTTTCCAATTCCTGTAAGTTATCATATTTCTGAATTTTTTAGTTCTAATTGCCACTTTTAGTCTTATTTTTAAAACTCAAAAAGCTAAAATATTGACATCACAAATCATTTAAATAGAGAAGCTATAATTGCATTCCACGTAACAGTGGAATGCAATTGAAAATCATGTACAAGGTCTGTTCAAAAAGTATCGGACCTTTGGTCGGCAAAAATAAATTTATTGACTTTGAGGAACAAAACCCTAATCCCCTTCAAAGTAGTCTCCTTGGTAATGTATACACTTCTCCCAGCGTTTCTGCCATTGCTGGAAACACTGCTGGAACGCATCTTTTGGAATGGTTATCAGCCGGTCCGTCGCATTTCGCACGATGTCTTCTCTCGACTAAATTTGGGTTCCTTTTAGCGGCATTTTCAGCTTGAGAAATAGCCAAAGGTCACACGGAGCCATGTG